TGTGTTTTAGTTTATAGTGTTTAACATTATTACCCCACATGTCGATATGTTATACAATCAGCTTTAGTAAACGCTTAACTGATCCAGCATTCATTGGAATGGAAGTAAATGTTTTCCAGCAGTCATTACAGAAACAAATGGAGAGAATGGACATAGTGACACAGGAGTTACTGGAATCATATGAAAGAAAAGAAAAAACATTCATATAAATAGAAGTGTAACAGCTAGAAATATATCTGATATCATCATGAATCATCTAAATTAGATTTTGTTTTAAATTTCTAACAACTCTGCTGTTTCTTTCCTTGAAGTATCAAAATTCCAAGAGTATGAGAAAAAATTTGCAACTCAGTTGATCAAACAACTGATGTTTATTCCATACAGAAGGATCATCTGAAAAACTGAACTAGGAGTAATTTAACAAATTTCAGAAATATCACTGGTACCATTAGTCTTCTACAATTATTCCAATGACCATTGCTGAAACTGAGAGATGCAAATTAAGTGTAAAACAAGTTAAGTCATTTTTAAGAAGCACTATCAGCAAGGACAGACTCAGAACTCTAGCCATGCTCTCAATTGAAAAGAACAAGATAAATGACATATCTAAATACAATGAAAATGTTACTAATTTACAAAAATTGTACTTGACTATTTTGTTATCAATGTTGAAAAATATATTGCAAGCCACATATTATGGTTTTATTACATTCCATTGTAAGGTATTAAATGTTACTTTTTTTTTTTACCTATCAGAACTTGTTTCCTTTTAGTTGCATTGTTTTCCTCTAATTTGTGAAAATGCAAATGTATTTTAACTTGCAAATTTCATCATACCTGCCTATTTAATTTTCAAAATTTGTTTTAAGAACCTACATTTAAATAACCCATGTGACGCCACTACTCTCTATACATAAATGTTCTCCCAAACAAAACAATTATCCTTACTGCAAAAATTCATAACTGAATGTATTTATCTTAGGACAAAAAAGGACAAAAGTTAATCAAATCCGTATCTTCAAAATCACTGAATAAGATTTGTATCAAACTGATAAATTAATTAGCTCTATCTGTAGATTTTCATGTGTATTATTCACATTCATTTAAATCACTTAACAGTTTCTTTTTTTTCCGCCATATTATGACAAAAAATAAGCATATTTTTGATGAACATTTTTATGAAGAAATTCATTATATAAACCCAAATCAGCAGTCAGAACTATTACAAATGTTGAATTTATTGATTTATGCTAATTTTTATTTTCATCATAAAAAGCACATTTTCTCTTAAAGTTGGTGTTTTTTTCGAACAAGTAAGCGAACTGGAAAGAACACTTTACACAAATACATGTCAGAATATAAAATGTTTTATTGTTATTACACGTCTGTTCGATTCCGTTAATATCAAATTCACAAAAGTTCTGCATTTGCGTTAGATTATCTATAATTTCCGTTTGTTCATCCTAGAGAAGTCAGACAACAAACTGTCATTACTTTCAGAATCATGAAGTAAAATTTCAGATTCGCTATCCGAGTCAATATCAGAGTTATCTTCAGTTATAAGCTGCTCATTATCATTCATTTCTTCTTTTATTTTAGCTCCAAATTTAAAAGAAATAGTATTCACAGTAGCCGAAACACCGAGCTAGTGAAAAGAAATTTCGCGTCTTTACGTGCGTAAAAGAATTCAGTAAAATCTAACCTTGACACCAGTTGTTTTGCAATTCTGACTAGATTATTAGCGCCATCTGTTAGAAACATCACACACTAAACAAGCAAAAAATTCGGGCAAATCAGTGTATTAGACTAGAAAAAAATGTTGCCCGAGCGCCACTCGGGAAAATAAAAAAAGTGTCATTTCCAAGTACCCAAACGGCATTCGGGCAAAACTGGGAAGTGGTTAATGATAATGAAAACAATATACAACTAGATTGAAAAACATTAAAATCAGCATATTTTTCTTCAAATTTTTGTCATGCTACTTTACTGCAATGCTACATTTTTTTGCCTATTTTTGAGATTTTTCATTTAAAATAACAGGGTAGAATATGTATTAAATGCACAAAAAATTTTGATTCAAGTTGTGTTTCCTGTAATTTCAATTTAACTGTAAAAGGTATAATAGAATGATAAGTTCATTCTTTTCTTGCATCTCTTTGAGAATACTTAAATGTCTGGTTAACTCCATAAGAAATGCTAAATCCATCTATTATTACATGGCTTGTTGATGGTTGAAAATTTTGATTTAATTTATTAAACCAAAAATCTGTTTTAATACAGGGTCCTCGAAATAAGTACCTCACCTCATTTTACTAAATAATTTCTCTGTACAAGTAACCCTCATACAACACAGTAGATAGGTTTAGATAGGTTCCTAGAAAATGACGTGCTGTATGAGACCCGGAGCCAGTATAAAAAGAAGGCTTACGTTCCGAAAACTTATTAAAAACAAAAAATTTTTTTAATTATACATAAACAACTTAATTTTTATTAAACACATATATGTATGTACAACACAAAACAAAAACTATTACATATTATAATTTAACATAAGTTTAGTTTAATAAATTTCTTCGTTTTGACTGCTCAGTATAATCAACTGAGAAAATTTTTTCGGTGGAATGAGATCAATTTCACTTTCAAAACTTCTTTCTTCATTTAAAATTCTAGCATTTTTTCCCCTCTTTAAAAAAATTTATAATTTTACTTTCCTTAGTAATTCTTACCGGTCAATGTAAATTTTTCACTATGGAGCTAGACAGCAGCTCCCTTTTGAATTTTTTGCTTATTTCAGCAGAAGGGTCTACAGTCATGAAAAATGATTTGAGATTTTCAGCTAAACTTAGGCCTTCTAATTTTTTTTATGTTAAATTATTAACTGCAAGATCTTCATCAGTGCTAGTGCACTCAGAATGGATTTGATTTATGGCTTTGGATGCCATTTCCATCAAATCTGCTTCGTCAGTTTCTTCTTCTGCTAATAAATCTTGAACGTCCTCAACAGCCATGTCGATAAAACCTTCGCCACACACTGATTTAGTAAGTTCTAATAAGCCACCAATTTCATTTTCTGACGATTCATGCACTTTTTCTATTTCAACTGAAGAGGACCATATCTTCTTCTAACATACATTTAATATTGATGTTTTCATTTCTTTCAGAGAGAAAGATACGATATCGATAGAGTGCTTGATTGAAAATGTCTTCCAAGCTTCCATTACATTAATTTTGAATTGGTCATGTCTAAAATCCACTGTAATGCTCTTCTTATGTAATATGTTTTAAAGGTATAAATAATACCTTGATCCAATGGTTGGAGTAACGAAGTAGTTTAGGTGGTGGGAACAGTATTCTGACGTTGGGATGATTCAAATCTTGTGGGTGATATGGAGCCTTGTCTAATAGTAATAGTGCCTTGAAGCTCAAATTCTTCCGCCTTAAATAACGTTCTGCATCTGACACAAAACAATTTAAAAGCTTATCTTTAGCTTCATAATCAACGTCATAGCAGCAGCATATTCAGCAGATGCAGATTCTCCTTGAATTCCTTATGCTAAGCAAGACGCTTTTTGAAATTTTCGAACCAACCTTTACTTGCCAGAAAATCTGGGTTGACATAGGATACTCCATATTGTTTAAAGTGCTTGAAAATTTCGATTGCTTTTTGTTTAATGATTTAACATTTTTGGGCACCCGGGGGCGAAATGCACGTTTTGTGGATGTCAAAGATCCTGCAGCAATTGCACTTCTTATTTCTTTTTCATTTTTCTTAATAGTCCGGACTCTGGCTTCATTCAAATTAAAACATTTTCCAATGTAAGATGACTTTTCTCCTTTTAAAAGACGGTCCAAAATTTGTATCGTTACATCTAAAGAAATTAATTTCCTCTTAAACACTTTTTTTTGGGGGGGGGTCTTTATCGAACATGTTTTGAAACCGAAACTTAATGTCTTAAAGATGAAAAAGTTATTCTTTAACACACCATGGCTAGACGCATACTGCCGATTAGCAGTCTGAGACACTTTTATTTTCAGGCCACGGAGATGAGGATTCGAATTTTGGAAGCTGAATGTATAGTTTGTGTGCTTTTAGAGCAGTTATTGTGACCTCGTGTAGTTCACCTTCTGCTATAGTGAGGTTTTTTTCATTGTTATCTGGTGATTGTGTTCTCTTGAGACTGGGTATTGTTTCTGCTCTCCTACTGTTGATCATGGAAGGAAATGATTTTCTGTTACCGGTTAAGAATTCAATGGTTGCTCTAAACCACGTGGTTCATCTCCCTGAGCACATTTCTTCTTACGGGTTACTGGATCTTGGAAGAAAACTGGCAGAAATTACAAAACAAAGATTCTTAAGCGTTAAATGACTATATGGGTGCTTTGCTCAATATGGAAAATTTTTGCTTGGAGTTCATTAAATTTCTTCAGATTGCTTGGGTAATTATCTTATCGTGTTAGAGAGAAACAGTGTTATAGAAGGGTTCTTGCAATTTACGAATCATGTTACAGTGAAACAGTGCTACAGGATGCCGTGTTGTAGGATTTGCCTATCTGTACTTACTTTCAATTTCTTCAAGATGTGCAACAAACGCGATGATTCAGAGTTAGTACATGGACAAAATTTACTGTTTCACCTGCAAATTTCTGGCACCATATTTACAACAAATATAAAACTAAAATGCATTTTTTGCCTTCATAAAATTATTCTGGGGGGGCCACCAGTTTAAGACCACTGGTATAAAACAAAACAGCTTTAATAAGAATAAAATATTTTAGTCAAAAAAATGAAATTATTTTAGTCTTTTTTAAAAATGAAAGAACTGATTTTTAAGAAAGTTACAAATTAAGACACAATTACTATGCATGTACACTGTATTCTAATAGCTACTTTAATTAGAATTTTAAAATAAAAATAAATAATAAAATTAGTCAAAAATATAAAATAGAATCTACAGTTGCTTAAAAGTTAAATAATTAGTGTAAGAAATGTGAAATATTACCTTCACTTTCAAGTTTTTGGATACAAAAATTGGCTACAACAGAGGTACCAGGATGCACACTAAGAGATTCTGGGATGTGATGAACTAATAAAGTTCGAACAATTTGTTGAGTTACCCGTCGAACCTTGAAAGAAGTATATTAAGCTTTTCAGCGGTTTTCATGCATGAATATTAAACAAAGGAAATGTATGATGATAAAACTCAAGAAACACAATTATAAGAACAGCAAAATTAATTTTAAAAAATCCAAAATAATGTCAAACCCAAACCTTTTTCAGATACAAATGGATAATATGTGACACCATACAATTTTATTCCAGGTCCCCAATATATTAAATAACAAAATCAGTACCTATTATTATTAAAGAAGAAAATTCTTATCACATCATCCTGGGCTCACATTTTCATTTCCTTATTATATTTCTTTTTACTTATTTTTTAGAAGTTTATTTCTGATTATAAAAGGTGAAACAGATTAAAATCACTTCACATGCAGTATGATAGCTTTACTTCAATCACATACTCAAATGTAATGAATTTTAATCTTGTTTATGATACTGAATATTTAGCAAAAACATGTGAAACTGGCTAAAAGCAAACAAAGAATACTGACATTTTCTTGTTGCCCCCATGATGTTTGCTATTTATTACCTTCATAAATGTTGGAACAATGTTTAATATATCCCCAAATACAGCAAAATATTTTAAGTAGGCAGGGTTTGATTTTTTAAAAAAAGGGTATCAGAAATAAATGAATACTTTGAACACAAAGGCAATGCTTCAGCAATTTAATTTCAAGAAATAAAAAATCCAGGAAGACCAGCAGAATAAAATACAAAAAAAAAAAAAAAAAAAAAAAAAAAAAAAAAAAAAAATTCATACTTGCACATTAACACAACCACCTTGGTGCAAGTTGGTAATTGTTTAGAGAAAAAAGGTAAAAGTTACTATAAGGTGCAAGTTGGTGGTTTTCCTGACATTTTTTTAAAAAAAGATTCCCAAATTTTTTATATTTAACCTTTTGAGGTAGGGGATTTGACACTTGTAAAAGCCTTGGAAAGGCAGGGCTTTTCTTTACCTTATGATTTTTCTCTATTAAGAAGTTCCTTGCTGTTTGCAACAATGGGACTTTTAGGTAGTTTGATTCATCCTGAAAGAGAGGCTATCCTCTACAGAAGGAAGGCAAATGTAGGAATTATTGTCTAAACTGTTTTCCTTACGAAAGAAAAATGTAAATATGCAATTGATTTCCAAATCAGATTACTCAGCGATATACAGAAAGAAATGCATAGGTATATGTATAATATATATGTTGTATGACCTTAAATTCACTTAGTTCGAAAACAAGTTATTCTAATACTTGCGCAATATCTGCAAAGTAAGATAATAATAATTTATTTCTAAGAAATATGATTATATCTCCTAATATTAATTTTAGTAGAAGTATTAAAAAGAGTGAACCCATAATTTGGAGTTTAATTCCGAAAATTGTTTTAAAGTACTTGAATGTAAATTGTTAAAAATGTTTTCGAGGGATGAAGTAAATCATGAATAACAAAATTTTCAAACTTTGAAAAAAATTAAATTAAAACAAGTAATTATTGCTATGGTCAGAATTAATTGACATTTCAGCGAACAAACCAACTCCGTTATGAACAATAATTAATAAAATAATACGAAGGTGCTCATCTTTTACTAAGTAATTATGTAATGCCCAAACTGGCAAATAAGTTAGGCCAAATTACTGTGAAGTGAAAGGTATTTAGAACAAAGAACTCATTCTGATAGCATTTTCGTTAATACAAAATTTTGAGTGAAAAGCAATTTATGTAGTAAATTGATAAAATACTTGAGTAATTACCCCGAACACCCTCTTTTTATGCATGTAATTCGAAATTTGTTAAAAATTAAAAAATTGGTAACTTTGGATTATGAAATCGAACTCAAAAGTAGAAATAAACATTAGAAAATTAAAAAACATACGCTATCTTTGCAAAACAAATCAAATAATAAAAATTGAAAATTAATATATATATAATAAGAAAAAGGGAATGTACATGAGATATAAAAGGCCAGAAAAAGCATTAATTAACTTGCATTCTTTCTAGTGGGATCTGGGCAAAGTGTTGTCTTCGGTGTCTTATTCAGAAGGGTTGTGTGTCCGAAATTCCTCATCGGCAGCAGGGGCTTTGAATTATTTCAGGCGGCGAAACGTGTGAGAAGTAATTTATGAGACAAGGGAGGGACTAGGAATGCTTGAGGGACGTTTGTTGCGGAGTTCTTATGCGAGTGAAAACGTCTGTCAGGGTTCGTACACATTTCTGCACATGGAAATTAAGCACTTTGCGGACATTATGAAAAAAAATTAAGGGACTTGAGCATATGAACTGATTAATTCAATTAATTATCTATGCCTGAATTCCCTTTATAATACCATCCTAAAAAAAAAAAAAAAAAAAAAAAAAAAAGGATCCCTAGTAGTATGCATTATTACCAAATGTAAATTAATTAACATAATATTAATTTGAGAATAAAATAAATTCATGCATTTTATCAATAGCATTAAATCTTTTACACTTAATAGGGTGGACTATTGAAAGAAATAAGTACATTTAGTTTACTAATAGTTAGCTTTATGTTGATTTTTTTATGTCCTTTTGTCACATACTGTCAGTCTAGAGCAGAGGTTCTCAACCCGGTGGTACGCAAGAAAAATAGGTGGTACACAAAGAAGACAAGTATTTTAAATTTTATTCAAAAAGTTACAACCCCAACTCGATTGAGTTTTTTTCTCTTGTGCTCTGAGCTTTTTCAAAGTGGTGGTGGTAGTAGTACTTAGTAGCACACAGGTTTGATTTTTTTCCCGATGGTACACGTAGTCAAAAGGTTGAGAACGCTTTAGTCAATAGAGGTAGATTTTATGTCAAACGGCATAGTTAAAATGAAATATAATAATCAGCATCATTCAGAAAAGACGAATGTTATCACCGCTGTGCTTGTCTAGAGAAAGACCTGCTGATAGAACCAACCTGAAAGCATGATGTAGGCACGGTTGGCAAGTGTTGAAAGTTAGTCACGCTCTGATGCAGTTCGTCGTAAGCATGTAGAGGTCCAGGGGTTGTGTAACCGAGTTAATACTTTCAGATTCCATAAATTAGCACCAGAGTGAAGTTGTTGTATAAGTCTCACTAGCTGCAAGAATAGCTTTACTTGAATTTCAATTTGTGTTTTATCTTCTGCCACAGTTGAGTATTAATGATAGGCATACTTGTAATATTTAATATGTGAGATAATTTTAAGGTAAGCAGTTACTATAAATAAATAAATTAGGTTAAATAGGTACGGTAGTCATTTGGATTTACATGACTACTATTAAAAATTTTATTTTTTTAAAAAATCCCGATTAAAATCAAAATATAATTCACATTTGAAAATACATGTTATTTATGACACTGATTCTTAACGGTATTAGAATAATACACATTAAAGCTCAAACATTTATGTTTTTAACACAACACTCAAAAAATATTTATTCGTCATTTTAATTTGAAGCCTTCACAAACATTTTGACTAGTTTATACCGATCTCCTTCTCTTTCAGCATCCTTTCTAACAATAATTAGAGATTTGTCTCAATATGCAAACCAATGCTATAGCTAGTTTCTGCGTGCTTTATCTTCTAATTTTTCAACCTTTCATAAATTGTATGATGCATTAAAACATATTAGATGGATCTTTTAAATTGTAAGTTTTCAATTTCTTTATTAATAAAAAAAATCCCTTTCTATAATGACTGCCCAAGTAATACGATTAGAAGCATTTTTGATACTTTCCATGCTTGTGTCTAGTGAAAAGTAGAGAAAATAAAGAGAAGATAAATATGTTAAGAAAACGATTCTAGTATCAGGAGTAAAACTCAAATATTATGTCTTTATTGTTCTTCCAGACGTTCTCCAAAAAGTAAGAAATTCATCGCAAACATTCTGTAAAATACATCCATTATGCGTTGATACCATGGAGACATTTTTCACTTTGTCACATATTTCTCGAATCTCTAGAATCGATGGGTCTATAAATCTGCCTCAAATCCCTAAATTTTCCAAGCTGCAATGTCAAAAAATACTAAAGAAAAATATCCAAACCAATTCTGTCAACAAAAAAGCCAGTAATATTTTGGAAAAAAAAAAGGAAGGAAAAAGTATAAAATTACTTTTATAGAGAAACTGATGCATATTCTGTGAATTTTAAAATTCTGAGACAAAATTACATGGAAAAATGCTTACTATGAAAATTAAAAAAGAAGATTTTTAATTAATTACATAGCTAATTTTGCTTTGCTAAGAGTTGTTTTGTAAATTGTGCTTATAGCATTATCCTTGTTTATTT